CCTGCCCCACACTGTGCACTCAAAGCAGGGCAGAGGAGCTGAATTCTACATCCCAAAATCAAGGCATTCACACCACTAAGCCTTTCCCGCCCAGTCTCCCCTCCAGACATTGCCTGTAAGAGATTTAGAGTTGAATAAGAAATATTTTCAGGAGCTCATGGGCAAGGAACTGCCAATGGGCTACATGGTCAGAGCCAAGGATGCAGTAACATACCAGCAAACATCATCATGTGCTGCAAATTCGTCCCGATCTTATTTCTTCTCCCCAAATTCAGTAAAAATGACAGTGGGTAAATATTGGCAGCTCTTCCTAGGAAGATAGCAAGCTGTATTTGCACATGTTAAGGAAATAGCTCTTCCTGTGTCTCCCATCACATCCCACCTGCACACAGAGCCAGTCTCTACTGCCCGACGGAAACGCTGGGGAGCTGCAAAATGCCACTTCACTGGCTGCAAAGATAATAACCCATCTCAAGTGCTACAGCAGTGTGGGAAGAGCAGGCTACTGCCTCGCTGAAGCAAAGCACACACTGCAATTCAGGAATGTCACACAGAGAAAAGCACAAATGAACAGGGGAAATGATGAAAGGACATGTTAGACAAAGTGAGAGGAGAGAAAAAAACACCATTTCCCACTGTATGCTCTCTCCTGCCAGGTCCATTTTCCACCCCAAGAATTATTTGTCTGCTGTGAAGCTCAAGTTATCACAGCTACGACAACCCCTCTGACATTCCCCAGCATGCCACACTTCACAGCTGGGTTTGAAGCTGTAAGCCAAGTCCCATTCCCAAAGATTATTCAGCAAAATGAAAAGCAGCAGCAGTTGAGAAGGAAAAAAAAAATCTAATACTCTTTCTGTTTTCATAGCCTGTGAGATACAAGAATCACCAGCCCCTTCATATTGCTTTTTATCTTTGAAGCTGTGTCTTTAATACCAGCACCCAGATGGCAAAAATAATCTTGGAGCCAGTATTCAGTGCAGCCTTGAATAATATGGAAAACGCTTCCAGCTTTTATGTTCTTTCCTGAACATCATAAATTTGCATAAGAGACGTATTTCATGATCTCTTTCATGAATGAGCTATTTCATCAGTGATTCAGCCAGTTCCCACTGAAGAGGGACAGCACAAAATCCCAATGGAACTGCCCAAATGGCATTTCCCTGCTCTTCACTCCCTTTACCCACTGCAACCCCACAAAAGCTCACTGGGAAATCCAGCTGAGCTCACTGCAAACTCATGGGCCAGCACTGGCAAGTAACATTTTATTTATCAGTATAAACCTGCTTCAGCACAGGCAAAGGGTGAAAATAATTCTGCACATTTAACTGGCTTCCCTGTGATATAAAAAAATTCCTTCAAAGTCCTTGTTTTTCTGAGAGATACCAGGGCCGATCGTTTGTTCCTGTTAGCATCAGCCTGCAGAATGGGAAATCCTTTCTCATTGCACCATTCAGAGGCACCTACTGTAGTTATAACTGGGCTGTTTGACCAAAAAAAGGTTTTTTTTTCAGGGTTAACCAAGTGGACTAGCAGAGAGAAGAGGAAATAAACAGCTAAACGAGGCAGTTCCTTTTTGCAGAGCTACTCCTGGTGCCACCCTGCCATGTGACATTGAATGACGAGTCCCTGCAGCAGCTTCTTCAAGTGACCATGATGGGAGAGAAGACGGGGGAAGAAAAAAATCCAACAGAAAAGCTGGGAAGAGAATCTCCATCTTCTTAAAATAGCCAGCAAAGGCACCACTACATGGCAGGAATCCCCTTCTAAAAATAAGGTTGAAAAAAGCTAAACTCACTCATTTGGATTAAAATCACAAACTAGCAATGAGGCTCTTCTCCCTTTCTTTTTCTGTCTTATGAAATGGGCTCCAAAGGATACAAAAGCTCCCACCACAAAGGTAGGGTTAAAGACGTGGTTCTGGAAGGTGAACAGTGCAAGTCCCATGTAGGAGAAGATGAAGTTTTCTGCCAAGAAATTCAGAAGCTCAAACAACTGAAAGAGAAAAACAAATTAAAAGCGAGTTAGGCATAATACAGATTTAACAAGAAAAACATGTCAGCCCATCGGTCACACAATAAATACTTCTGCAGAAGCAAGCCTGGCAAAATCCAGCTGTAGAAAGACAGATGCACCTAATTCTGGCTCAAGGGAAGGGAAAAATATTGAACTTGAAATTCAGAGAGGCTGAAGGGGCTGAGGAGTTCTCACCTGCTTAGTTCTGTGTTGGGACTCTGTAGATAAGTTGTTATAGGTATAATGAGCCTGTGTGATCCCACAGAAGAGCACAGCCACCACACCTGGGGAGTAGAGCATCACATTAGACTCCTGGTCATGGAAAGGGAGCTGAGCTGCACCCCAGTAGTAGGGGACTCAATGCAGTCCCCATAACCCCACAACCCAGAATAATTAAAGTTCTGCAAGTAGAGGGAGAGCCTCAGCTGCAATCAATACTGGGAGAAGCAGAACTCAGTGTCCCCATCATCCCTGCAGATCTCCATCCCAGGGCCAGGGCTGTGCTGGAGCTTGCCTGTAAAGCCACATGCTTCAGCCAGCAGGAACGTGCTCCAGGACATCAAGAAGAACAAGCCAGTCTCCAGCACCGGGAACTCCCGAAGAGGGAACTCCCGAAGTTTGGTGAACTTGGTGACGTTGCAGATGGTTAAGGACAATTTGCAGAGACACTGCAGGCTAAGAGCATTTCAAATCCAGTTGTGTACCACAGCAACACTACACAGCCTGGCCCTAAAAAAGGCTGTGGCACTGCCCTTCATTAATTTAGGGGAAAAAACACGAAACATCTGGGTGAGATGCAGCACAGCTAAAGAAGAAGCTGTTATGCAAACACTTGGACAAGAAGAGCCCAAACAAAAAGGATATTAAAGCTGTCACAACTCCGGTAGCTGCTCCCATCGCAAAAGATCCACTGAATATCCCCAGGAAGATCCCAATGGACTTGAACATCGCTGTGACATCAAAAGTGTGGCTGTTGTCGCCTGCTGGCTGGTATGCAACTATTGAACTGGAAGAGGGAGGGAGAGCACACACAAGAACAAAAGCCCTTAGTCTGGAGGGAGAGGCTCTTCATGGTGCTACGTGAGCTTTGCAAAGTGCTACGAGTGCTGCAAACACAGAGGAATCAGGGAGACACAACCTGAGTCCCACACTGCAATCCCCTGGGACTGCAGCATGCAGCTGCACACACCCACCCTGTCCCAGGGAGTCTGCGATCCCCTTCACTCCCACTGGCTTTCTGTGGTTCAGCCACCTCTCCTAGGCATGACCCTGCCTTTACTCCTAGATGTTAGAGAGCATTGGACCAAAGCCCCTGTGCTTCGTGTGATCTCTCATTTATGATGGTGTTTTGGGGGTTTGGCAGCAGCTCTCCATAAAGCCAGGCACTGTGGGACCACAAAGCATCCAAGTGGGAAGCCTTCATTTCCCTGTCGACTCCACCGAGGCAGCTGATGTGAACATCCCCCGTAGAACCAAAAGTTCTGCCGTTGTTCCACACTTAACATGCACTGCATTTGCTCTGCACTGCTCTGCACCATCACAGGGAGGCAAGGCAGACAGCACTGTGCCATTCACAACACCAACACTATTCTCTGCATCCCTCAAACTTCAACAGACCTTTGTGATGAGGTGGCAAACAGGCCTGATGTGCTGAACCCATCTCTGAATCTGCTCCCTCCTAACTCCTGCTGAGCTGAGTTTCACATCAGCTATCCTACTGTTTAACCTGGAAAGGCTAAGATACAGGGGGCCCCTTATCCAGCTCCTAAATCCCATTTATCAACTCCTTACATTGCTTTCTTTGATGCAAACTTCCCAAAAACATTAACTTCCCAGTTTAGCAATCCCTTGGCTGGCTCTGCCAAAAGTCCTGGATGTGAACTTTAAACGTTTGCTCTTTAACCTGCTGAGTTACGCTGTAACAGACACTTACTGCCTTGCACACACATCCTGCAGCTTTCTCCCCTAACTACACACCAACACTGCTCTGCAGCACAAATGACAATGCTCCCCTTTCCAGCACATCATGGGTCACTCCCCTTGCAAAACTTCCCTGCTTTTAGTACATCACATTTTTCTGCATTGCCTTTTACACTGCAAGCCACAGATTTCTCCCTGTGATTTAATTTCTTTGGTCAATCCCATCTTACGCTTCTCATTCACCAATGTGCCCTTATTCTGGGGTCTAGGGTTTTGTGGGGGATTTTTAAAAATCCAGACTGGTTTCATTTCCCCTCCACAACCAACTTTTTGGATATTGGTTTTGCATTTTAACCTCTGAGTTTTCCTTCTGATGTTTTTTTGCATTGCTAATAGGACATTATTGTCAGCTGCTCTTTATTTCCCCCATCCCTGCCCATGGGGCTCCCCATGGTCTTTAGTCCCTGTGAAACTTCCCTTCAGAAGAATCAGGTAGAGACCCTGTGGCTGCATTTACCCTCCTGCTCCCAAACCACAGTCCCAGCACCTCACTGCCCACTGGCTTTCGGTTCTGGGTTCAATTCCTCTTCATGTTGCAATCAGTTCCCTGCTGCCAAGCCAGGTCAGGCCAAAACAGTACAAGGCAGGACCAGAAAGGCACAGATCCTGCTCTCTAAGCAAGGGAATGGACATTTATCCAGGACTGAAAGGAGGGAGGAGAGGAGCCTCATCAAGGTACCCAGCTCCCAGCAGGAGTAGAAAGATCCCAGCTCCACATCCTCCCTGGCACAGGGACAGTGCCTGCAGTGCTCACTTCACTTCTTCACTTCTCTTCACCCTGAGATGAGGTGGGACACACCACCAACTGTCACCCAGGAGGTAGTTCCTCCATCAGCACAGAAACCTGCCCAGAAACCACCCCAATTCCTCACCTTCCCAACTGCTCCTACTGGGGAGCAGGTCCCACTGTGCTTGTGGGAGCAGAACCATCCCTGTGCAGTTCTCTCTCTTACACCTCTGCTGTGAAACAGGCAAATGCCAAACTAAATTTAAGAAAGGGGAACCACAACTAGGAGCTCTGGACTGCTCTTCGAGACATTTTCCTCCTCCTCACTCCCAACATGTGGTTGTGTCCAGGTGACTCGAGGCTGCCCTTGAGCTACCTGCACCGACTGTGAGATACCCACGGTGCTGCCTGGGGCTGTCTTACTCTGCTTAGCGAGGACAGAGATCAGGGAAAGCTTTAAATCAGGTACAGGGCAACTGCTGAGACACCCCTGAGAAGCATTTCATGCTGCTGGGCCTGTCTGCACAAAAACCCTGCAGCAAAATAAAACAACTGCTGGCTGAGCTCAGAGATACTGTCTTGGTGCAAATTATCCTGTTTCAAGAAGGGGGTGGATCGAGCTCAGCTTGTGGAGGAAGGAAGGCAGGAAAACAGAGCAAAAGCTACAAAGCTGCTACTGAGGCAAGAAGCAAATCCCTGCGCACTGTGCTGTCACCTACGTGTGTGAGATCCACCACAAATTCCTTTACTCCGATGCTGAATCCACTCACTCCCACCCAGAATCTCCCAGCAGAGGCTGGAAGACCCCATCCCTTCCCCACTCAGGATCACATCTTAACCACAGTTTGGCTGTGCAGCACTTCCCCTCACACCAGTGGTGACACATCCAGCGTGAAAGCCAGAGCGAGCAACACAAACAGCTCCAGAAACCTCAACAGAAACACTCAGTTCAGTAAACACCACTCACACTGGTGGCAACACACAGCTCACACTGTGTTACTTGCTGCCTCCACCTCAGTGAAACCCACACAACCAGCAGAGTGACAAGTATTCCAGAAATATTTTCTGCATTAGTCTCAGCTATACGTTAATCTGTCACCACTGCAGATATTATATACATTTCCAAACAAATTCCCATGATGACAACACGATGAAAACGCAGATAAAATACGTCCTACATGCAGAGGACATAAAATATTAAAGAATATAAAACATTATTTAGAAAGGCAGCAAGTTTCCCATGTGTTCAGTGCAGGGCATTAACTCCAGCTGTAAGAAAGACCTCCTCGAGGCACAGAAAGTGGGGAGAGAAAGGAAACAGCTGCTTTACCAGCTACTTCCACCTAAACAAAAGCAGGTATTTTTGGATGGGAAGGAAGGCAGGTAGGAGCAAGCTATCAGCAAGGGATTTCAGTGGGATCCTGTGGCTGAAAAGCAGACATGGTGCTTTTCCCATTTCAGATGGACATAAAAACTTCCTTCTGGTAGGAAGTTGGGTGGGTCAACTGGCTATAAAAGCAAAACAATACTATCCATCATGCAGGGGGAAGTTGTAAGGACAACCCATAATCCCAAGCAGCAGTAAGCAACGAGGACATGCATCAGCTTTTCAGGACACTGGATGTGCTCTTGCAAACACCAATGCTCCTATTCACCAGGAGCAAGGCTGAGTGTCTCCCCCCAACACCTGACACGTAACATACATAACAATTAAAAATAAAAACAGAAGACACTTACGAAGACAGCACTATGGCAACGGCATCATTGAGGACGCTTTCGCCAAAGAGAAGGGCATACAGCTCAACATCAACCTGGAGTTCATGGAATATGGCAAGGACAGTCACTGACAAATAGAAAAATAGAGAGACATTCAAAAAGGTGCTGTTATTTTGGTGTAATCAAAGACAAAATGTCCCTCTTTTCAAAGCTGCCTTCCTGCACATCTGTGCCACTCTGCTGTGACACTGCCACCTGCCCTCTGTGTTCCCTTTGACAGTCTTCCTTCTGCCCTTTCAGATTTGGATTTGCTTCATCATTTCTTCCTCCTTTTTTACTAAAACACATCCTAGTCTATTGAGTTTTTAGCAGAGAGACATGAACAAACTCTGCTCTGAGCTTCCTGAGCTCATGGGCTGGACCATGGTACCACACTGGCACGAGCCACTCAGCTGTTGGGATGCTGTTAGCACAGAGCACAGGGAGAGCCTTCCTCCACCTGCAGAAAGCCAGGAGGACCAGGCTTGTCCAGACAATGACTGCCTTTTCCTTCCACTCCTGATACTCCGAGAGAAATCCTGAGATTCAACACAGGTTGACACACTGGAAGTGCCAGCACAGATGTGTAACATTACAGATCTAACTGGAAAATGCCAGACATTGGCTCAAAACCCATGTGAGGGTTTCTGTGATTTATGGCCACATGGCAGAGATCGGAACACCCTCAGGCCCTTCCATGATCCAGCAGCAATAAGAAGATAATAAAAAGCAGGTTTTGTGTATCAGCCTCGCAGAAACATCGCAACATCTAAAGCAAGCAAGATGTAGCCCATGGTGCATCAGGCAGAGTTCAGGCTGCTGCAGAGGGCTGAGCTAATTCCAATTAACTTCTCTGAAAGTCCTTTCAAACAGCACTCGGGGACTCAGCTGTGCACACTGAAGAGAGTTTAACTCACTTGATGCACAGGGAAATGCTCCATTTTTACCTGAGAAATCTCCTTGTTCCTATTTCAAAACCTGAAGAAGGGACACAACACCAGCAGCTCATGTGCAGCGTTTCTAAGCATGACTTCTACCTACAGTCCTGGGCTCTGCCCATCTCCCATCAGACCTACCACACTGACTCCACTTCTGTGGGGTGCTCCCCAATTTGCAAAATGCTGACACCCTGGTTAAGTTCCAGGGGGGATGCTCCACCTTACAGCCACATGGGAACAGTTACCCACTCAGGGAACCAGAGGCCTGAACACACACCCAAAGCATGTTTAAAGAAGCTGGGAAATCATTTCACCTTATTTTTAAGTTTGGTGTTTTTTACAATAAAAATAGCAGCAGCAATAATCACACCAATACCTGGAAAATCTTAGGGGAACATAAAAACCAAATTATTACAAACTCATGGGGAATGCACATCTCACACCTTCACCTGGCACACAGATGTGGCTGCTGCCACGTTGTGCTGCAGGCTGTGCTCTGCAGCATTATTCTTCATATATGCATGTACATACAGTGTTCCTCATTTTGCTTCTGAAAATAGAAATGACTCATTGTTAAAATGAGCAGGTAAAAGTCCCAATTCATCTGGAAATGACACTAGTTTCAAAAGGGCAGAACACTTGGCTCACCCTGGTCTCAAATGTAATAGTCAGGCTGCAAAGGAAGGAATTCAAGCTCTGCTCAACAAAGGGAAGGAGCAAAGAGAGTCTTTTTTGTGGTCCTGTGTTTTCACATGAAGTTGGAGCATGCAAATAAACACCTACCACATAAAAGCAATCATGAATTAAGTACAATTCAGTTGGACAAGGCATATTTTCCATAGTTTTGATTTATAAAGTGCATCAGTAGACCAAGATCCAACTACTGTCCTCAGTACTGCTCATTAAGATCAATTTTCAATAGACTAGCCCCTGACAAAATCCCACCCAAATGGCAACAGGACAAAAGGGTAAACTAACTAAAACTATCAACTGAACCCTCCCAACTGAACCAACCCTATGCATTTTGTTCTGCAGCAGCTGTTGGCACAAGGTGGCAGAGACACAGTGGACCTGTCCCAAAACCCAGTGAAGTCAAGAGAGAGGCTGCCTAGGACTTCACTGCAAACAAGGATTTGGGAAAGCAGAGGTTTGAAAGCTGTATTACACATAACTGGAAGGAAATAAAAAGGCACAGAGACAAATCTGACCTCTAAGAATGTCACATATAAATTAAACTCCAAAATTCAGGAAGGAACTTGCAAAGGTCTCAAACTTTCTTCCCCTCTTCACTACAACTCACACCAGACCGAACCGTAGGTAATATGAGGGAAAACATAACCATCTAACATACCTGGGTCAGTAGCTGACACGATGGCACCAAACAGGAGGCAATCAGTGAAGTAGAAGTCTCCCCCAAGCTGCCCAGTGACTTTCATCAGTGCCACACAGCCATACACGACAGAGCTGGTGATTAGAAGAGGCAGTTACTCATCTCTTCAGTGCATTAAAACGACACTCAAATGAGCTCAATTCTCCTAAATTTGCCAGATAAACCTCTGAAGTTATCCAAATGCTGGAACACTTAAAGGCTGTATGGGATCAGCTGAGCCTGGTGAAACCACAGGGCCATCATTTTGGAGGCAAGTGCTGGAACACATACAGCAGCAAAGAACCCACTGCACTGGACCACAAAGACAGCGCTAGTGAGGAACTGGTACCAGAACTCCTACATGAGCAGAACATGACTAAAGGAAAGCAGCAGCCAGGCTCGAGGGGTCCTGCCATGGCTTTGCAGTGCTTCACATGAACACAGTTCACTGGGATGACTTTGGCCTGAAACAGCCAAAACTTTCAGTGAGGAACAGATAATGCAGATGCTGAGTTTGCTTGAATCCACTGGACTCCAGTGGAAAACACCCTATGCCAGCCTATGTGCTGCTATTCAGAGCAGGAATCTTCTAGCTCCCTCTGCACATAGGGATAAATAAATTGAAACACATCTGTGCTCACTAGGCACCTCCATTTATGGCCCTGCTCTCACTCTTGTGTCTCACACTTGTTAGGGCTGTGCTCTCAATAACTTGAAGTTACTGGTTTCTCAAGACAACATTCAGAGAGGTGTGAAACTTTCCTTGCCATATACAGAGCTATTCTATATGGGATGCTGAGAGAGCACTGTGCAATTAGACAGCAACCACCCTGTCCATACAGCAGCAATTTGGAGAGTAAATAGCATTTGCTGCTGCTGAACAACAGCAGCAGAACCTGTAACACCTTTCAGGGCTGGGATTAGTGTCGGCAGCCCTAGACTCAGAGCACTGCCTCTGAGCACAGCTCAGCTCCCTGTGGAAGAACCAGACCAACTTCATCTACTCACCCGATCACCAGGCAGGAAATGGCAGTGCCGAGAAAAGCATATGCCAGGATGGATCCCAAGTTTCTGAAAAAGTGCCTCTAGAAGGAAAAAAAAACCCAACAAAAACTGAATTATATTTCAAGCCTGCGCAGGCACCCACACAGTGTCTGCTGCAATTTGGACCCAGCTCAGCTCCACGAGCTGGACACACACGAGGTGCCCAGCACAGCACACTGCCAGACCAGCAGTTAATGCAGCATTAATAAACATGACTATAGCATTTTCTTGTACCTGTGTATTTAATAAGATGCTGTTTCAAGTCCTGGGAACTGATTTCCTAGCCCAGCAGCATTCCTCCTTCTATCTCCCGCAAGCTAAACAGCATCATTTTCCTCTCAAGTCAGCATTTCAGAGAGCTGCTGCCTTCTAAAACCTTCCCACACTCCTATGTGTCGGAAAGCAGAGATGGCTGAAATGGCCTTGCTGACCTCAAAACCCTCTGTGCAAACCCACACTGGAAATGGCTGAAGTTGCTGACCCTTCCTGGGGCAGAGGGACAGATGAGGATGACTGGGGCACTCAGCTCTGCTTCCCACAATCCCACATGTGCTGGGAAAACCATACCCACCTCCACAGCCCTGGCCTGCTGAGCAAGCATTAAAGCACTTGCAAGTATTAAAAATTCTCTGGAGGCAGAGGAACTAAAACCGTCAGCACTGCAAAGGCACATACCCTTTTCAAGCTGTAGCCTGCATAAAATATAATAGGAGGAAGCAAGATGTTGAAAAATACTTCAGGATCAAAAGTCACCTGTTAAAAAAGGAGAAAAAACCACAACAGTAAAATGATTTGTTAAAACTTTGCAAGACAAAACACAAATAAGAAAATAATACATGGAGGAAACCCTGTGCCCCCACCAGGTGAAATGGGGTGGGGTCAATGCTGGGGATGTGCCTGGAATCTTCTGGAGACGCATCCCAGGGTCTAAGATCAGTTGAAACTAGTTTCATCATATTGTGTACAACTTTTAATTTATAGCTGATCACAACCACAAGTTAAAACTAAACAATTAAAAAAATCACTTAATCCAGCAGACCCAGGACCTGCCCCCATGGAGGGAGTGGGAAGCACTGCTCACCACTCCAGTCGCTGACTCCCTTACCTTTCTCAGCATCTCATTATCCTGGACGTTGTTGAGCTCCTGGGCACTGATTTCCCCCTTCAGGGTGTACTCATAGAACTTCCCACTGACATTCACCAGCAGCGTGGCAGGACTGGTCTGCACTTGGCAGCTCAGTGTCACGTTGTTGACGTCGCTGGGGACGTGGATGCCGTAGCGCAGGACCACACCAACCAGGACGCCTGGGGACAGACACAGGGCAGTGAGACAAGCCATGGCAAAGTCCCAGAATGACCTCTTTGAGCGTGAACACAGCATCAGGCATGCCAGGATCCTGACCCTCTGCTCAGCTGCTGAGCACAATCATGATCCAAATAATTGTCCGCGTGAAATTAAACCATCCTCGGCCCCATGAGCCATGCAAATGCTCCATGCTCGTGCGGATTTCCTAACGCCAGCCATGGACAGGTCCTGAAGGCTTTTAATTAGCCAGGAATCAGTCAGACCCTCAGCTGACACTGGGGGCACACTGGGTCTCTTAGGGTGAGCACCCTGGCACTGCTGGCACACAGCTGGGGACGTAGCCTGGTGCTGCTCACCCATGCCCAAACTATGCATGTTGCACCTCCAAATGACATTAATCTCTTCGTTTTGGTAGGGGATTAAAAATGCTACCCAGCAACCATGAACACTTTGAGGCTGGCTGGCAAGCATCCTTCCTAAGGTGCTGCAGCACCACACAGCCTCCTCCCACACCAGCTATCCCTGTTTTTATAAAACCACGGAAATTTCCCAATCCAGGCCGACCACCCAAATCTACTCCTCGCCCCTGCAAGCTTCAGTTCTGCACCATGAGCAGCACTCCCAGGGCAGCCCCGAGAGCCAACTCTGTCTCCAGCTAAGCTGCTACAAAGGAGCATCATGGGGTTAATCTGCAAGTCAGCAGTTTACACAGCACTTTTCTTTTGTGTTCTGAGGTCCTGCATCCAGATTCGTGGCATTCACACAGGCTCCTTCGGCTCCTTCTCACCCTCACCCGTGTTGAGCGCTCTCCTGGCAGAGCTTTCTGACATCTGCAGGCTGGGGAGGAGGGATGTCCCACAAGACACCTTTCCACATAGCCTTCAGCACAAAAGGGTTTGGAAACCTCTTGATTACCGCAGCCCGGAGCTGCCACAGAAATCCTAGATCCTAACCCATCTCTGAACCACACATTTATGAAAAGCTTTCATACACGTGAGAACTAAACACCAACCGCAACACCCTGAAGGCTTCTCCATTTGCCTCCCAGGACGCTCTTGCTTCCTTACTGCTGCCTTAATTAAGACCTTGCTCTGTGCGTTCCTACAGGCAGGGCACAACCCTGAGCAAAGAGAACACCCAACTCTTCCTCTACCACCACCTCACGGGAGCAGAGCCTGGCAGGAGTTACAGCTGAGCAGGAGACCATGAACCCCCACTGCACTCAGCATCTCCTGCAGGCAGTTCCTGACCTGCCACCCAGTTTTTGCCTTCTCTTCCCTTGACAGCAGTTTTCCAGGACAAGATTTGCTCCTCTTCCCATCAGCCAGAAACCCCCACCTCCCATCCCAGGCAATGCCATGCACAGCAGGGCCACCTGAGCACACATCCAGGCCAGGAGCAGGGGCAGGAGAGCAGGCTGCAGACAGACTCACCACTGCTGACCCATCACACCGGTCACACAGGCAGCTCAGCTCAGGCCTGACAGACTCAGGAGCTGCACCCAAAACCCTGGTCTAATATAGCACTTCTCCCACACAGGTGTGCTGTCCTCACAAAGCTACTGATGCTTTTAAGCCATGCACCATCCATCAGGTGCTCATCACATGCTTTGGGCTTTATCCTGCACTCAGTTTCCCCAACAGCTGCAGAACAGGTCCCTCTCAGCACAACCAGGCACGGTCACTCCAGCAAGGACAGCTGCTTCAGGGCATGTCACACTGTGCAGAGCATCTCAGAGCTGCTTTTACACCACTGTCACTGAGAGGAGACACCAAAGAGAAATTACTTTGCTTACTTTTCTGCTAGCTCTTTGTTCCTGTCATCTTCCCATGCTCCAGAAACACAAGCACAGAATGAAGGCAAGGATGTCAAGAACATCAAGATGTCACAGCACATATTAACACGAGCATGTGGCATGGGGTGCAATGGGACAAAACACCTCATTTTCCCTTCACCCCCAGGATATCCTCAAGGTACCAGAGGAAACAACCAAAACTCTTCACTGGGATAAAGAGAACTTCAAACGGTTATTTACACCTGCTCATGGCTGTTACGGTACACCATGCTTTGCAGCCCTCCAGAGCTACCTGGGGTGGCTTTTAAAAAGGCTTTTCTTATTTTAAAAAAAACCAGTTTATTTTAGAGCTTTACTCAGGAGTCAGAAACCCCCGGCAGCAGCAGCTCAGATGGAAACCCACCAGAGATCCCTTTAATGTCCAGGCTCAGCACTGTGAGATGAGAGGCCCCACAGGAGGAGGAAGGAAGGACATTGCTGCGGGGAATTCTGAAAGAATCCTGACTCACCCACCTCTCCACTCTTAATCCCTGTGCCAAAGCAGTGCTACATCTGATAGCTCCTGCTCCTGCTCACCCTCTCACTTATCCCAGCAGCTGTTCCCACCCCACATGCCAGCCATGCTCCAGACACAGCCAAATTCCCACTCTGGTCAGGAATGGGGTAAGGAGAAAGGGACAGATAAACCTACAATATCTGCCAAGACCACTGTGCTTGGGGCTCCCAAAATCCGACGTTTTATCTTGCCTAGTAACAGGCTGCCTAGGAGGCTCCCAGAGCTCTCTGGACCAGGGTGAGAAAAGACACCCGTGTGCAAATCCACATCTGCACAAAGAGCTCCTGGGCACCGAGTGTGAGCCAACCAGCATCGTGCCAGCTGCTCCCGACACAGAGATGCCATCAGTTACTTGCAGGGAAAGCATCCCGCTGCTCTGCTGAAAAAACAATTAATCCACCAACATTAAATGATCCCACCAGTGGATCATCACTTCCAATTAATCCACCAACATTAAATGACCCCATCAGTGGATCACCACTCCTGCCCCATGGTGGATCTCTAATCAACCCTCCCCACCTAACCATGCTCACTGGAGGCACTTGGGAGAAACCTGCCAAAGCTTTTCAGACACCAAACCTGCTGAGCTCAGAGTACCTGGAACAAGCCCAGGGGAGCATGTAGGTGCTCCTGGTTCTGACAGTCTCTTAGGGAATGGTTCAGACTCTCCTGGCACTCACAGGGCTGTCCTACCAGCAACCCGTGAGCCACTCCACCAGTATCGACATGCTTTTGCAGCCAAAAGTTTTACAAAACTGAGCCCTGGGAGGGAGCTGAGCAGAGAGAACCTGACACCAAGGAAGCTGCCAGCTGAGAGCTGCAAGGAGTAGCGAAGCTTGAAGGCAAAGCCAGTAAATTAATTGAGTTCTTTTATGCAAAGTGCAAGAGATTATTTTCATTGCATTTCTCCCAACTTCATTAAAAAGAACAAAAGCCCATGGGCTTTTTTCTAAGGTGCTGTTGAACATTTCCGAGGTAAGGTTTTAAATGAAGACTAATATATTACCAACCCGGCACTTAACAACAATGGAAGCAGACAGGAACCCCAGGGGAGCATTAACCTGGACACCAAAAGGAAAGAAAAATGTAGAGAGCAACTGAAGTCATCCTAACAACAAGCAGTTCAGACACATGCAATTCAGGGGCCAAGTGGGAACAAATACAAGGAAACTAAACTTCTAGAGAAGCTCCTGCCACATCCATCATCAGCCCTCGAGAAGAAATGAAACAAAATTGTTCAATTAATCTTCCTAAATGCTGAGTACTTCAGATGTGGGAACCTCATTTTAAACACTGGAATGAAGCTCAAGGGCTACTAAACACCTATAGTCTATCATGGTGAAATGACTCCAGCCTGTGCCCAGCTCTTGAACATCAGCTCTGAGCTGACAGTGTGATTTGTAAGACAGAAGTCCACCCGGAGCAAGAGCTTATAATTTCCAGTAAAAACAAAGACACCAAGGAAACGGATGTATTTTGGCAGAAGAGATGTATGCAAAAGTTTTATTGGACTTAGTTGTTGGTGGGTTTTTTAAACAGAAAAAGACAAGCTTTTGCAAACTGCTTCTCTTGCCCAGATTTCAGGGTCTGTTCTGCAGCCCTTCCACATTTTCAGTGAACTCCCCTGGAGCTGAAAGCATCACAGGGAGCAGGGACAGCAATACCTGCTTTCTTCCCTGCAGATTTTGAGTTGTCACTGTGAAAACAACAGCATCTCATCACTCCTTGGGAAATCACACGTCCCTTTTCCTATGGCAGGTGATACAACCTGAGAAGTAAAAGGCACAAGCCTTGATAGCAGAGAAAAACTTGGGATTTTCTGCATGACCAGACAGGTGATGTTACCAATTTCACCCGCAATTCTCTAAGCACAGTCTGCAGAAGAGCAGACAGAAAAGAAGCATTTTATGGATCAGCAGGAGACCAAAATGAGCCAGGTTGTGCTCTGAGATCAAGGGGAGCACTCAGGTCAGGGAGAAAGGATGATCAAGAGAAAGAAAACTCCAGCAGCAGAACAAGGTTAAGGGCAACTTTGAAAGCATGAAAGGAATGGAATGTTGCATGTGAGAAGCAGGAGAAGGAAGACCTTCCATGCTGGAAGCATGTGCTCCACAGCACAGCTCCTGTCCTGGGAGGTGACCACCCCTGCCCTGGGCAGGAGGACATCAACACCTGAGCAACGTCTCATGGGAATCTGGAAAGGCAAACAAGTATTTTGTGCCTCTGGGCTGATGCAAGTGTCTCCACCTCTTCATCTGGAAGGGCACTTCCAATTACCTGAAACTTGGGATCATAAAAGCCAATGGCGCAAGAGGGTCAAGTTACAGCCTTCAAAGCAAAGCTTTCTGCGGGACAGGGGATTCGGGGGAGTCTGCTCTGACCAAGCATGGTCACACATCACACACACCAGCAAGGGCAAGGGCAGCACAGAGCAGAGACACTAACCACAGCACACAGTAGAAGATGCCTTCTCAATCCTAAACTCAACAAATCATGTCTAAATAAGGATCTGTGGCCATGTTAATCACTTCCCCAGGACAACTCCCAATCCTACTTTGGTTGAACTCCAAGTCAAGCCACATAACCCAGCCAGAGCCATCTAAGGCACCTCCATACAGTGGTTCAGGTCACTTCACAAGCTCATGTCA